CAGGACCAGGCAGGGACAGGAAGAAGAAAGGGAGAGAAGAAGGGGCAAGAAAGACCTGGGCAAACCGCAGGCTCTGGGTCCTGCCCTGAACGACCTCGTCCCCAGGCTGCGAAAGTGGCTGAGTCAGGACCATGGGAGGCTTCTTGGGGCAGAGGGGGCGGGAGATGGGAGCGCAAGACCTCGAGAAACCTGGGAAGTTGAACTCGAGGGCTTGCCTTGCCCAACACACGCACAGACACACTGAAAACTATGAGCAAGAATAAGAAATTCTTAGATGTCTAGGCACTATTCATGCATTTTTCTCATTAATTCTTACGATCACCCCGTTCAGCAAGCCTGTTTTCCAGATGAGTAAAGAAAGTATCAAAAAGTACACCTGAGTTTGCCCAAGTTCACATGGTATAAATGTATTCGTGCTTATGCTCACTACACGCCCCCTTATATTCGAGCGTCTAAATATATCCTCTCATGCAATGTTACCACTGTACACATTGCAGGCTCTTGTATAGACACAACATAAACACACCCACCCTTGCCCACGCAGTTGTATGTGTTTATACACAACAATGCGTTTCCAGCTATGCATATAGAACAATACACGCAATCACATGCCGGGGCTGGATCACTCTTCCTTGCAAAAGTTGTCACTTCTTGTGGTCTTGACCCGCTCTAAGCCAATGTCCTCTTTGTCCCCAGCCATGGCTAGGTGCTTGTACCTCTTGGTATTTACTGCCACATCTGCCACACTTAACTCTGTCCTGTTATTGCTCATTGAATGGTTTTGTCCTTCGGACTGGGAGCCCCGAGACACCGGTGGCTGGGTCAGAGTCATTGTGTTATTTCTAGCTCTTCAGATGTGAATTCTTCAGCATGTTGAATCTATAAGCTGTCTTTCACAGTGTGGGTGTTCTTTGCATGATTTGTAATTTGGGGCTGTGAGCTCACGGGGCAGTTTTCTTACTGACCCTGCAGACTCACGGACTCTAGACTATTTTGATGTAATGCCTCAGCTTGGGGGTTCTACACCGAGTGGGTATCTTCTATCTGGGCCTCACACCAGGGCATGTTTCAGGCTTGGGGCTCTGATCTGCTGTCTGTATTCCTCGTGCTGCCCATGGCCTGGGAGAGTATCTCAAATCCAGCAGTGACCCAGGCTGATAGCTGAGAAATTCTGTTCCAATCAGTTTTGACATCTGGCTTCACACTAGGAGCTCAGCTTTGACTTCCTGCCAACAGCAGAACCAATAGCCTGAACCTAGACCCAGATTAGGCATTAAAATCTCAGCCTCAACAACCTATAACTACTCTTGGTTTTCCCCTTGGGGTGTGGGGCACCAGCCTCTTTTCCTGGTATAGGTTCCTCCTCTCTTAGAACTTGGAAATTATATTTTCTGGCTTTTGAATTGAGCTTCATATTTTTAAAATACTTAAAAATATGTTAGTCAGTGTTTTTATGTGCCCGGAGGAGGATGGGAAATTTCAACTCGTGTTCGCCCTGACATCTTAATTTATCTCTGTGTTCCAAGTACCTTGCTCAATAAACAGTTGTTGGTTGAGTATTTCTCTCCCTTTTTCTCCTTTCTTGTCATCTCTTCTGTCTTTCCCCAGCTCTGCCTCCGCCTCCTGAGGAGTCGATAAAGGATCTTGGTTTCAGGAGAGCCCTTGGACTTGGCCTCACTGGATGAAAAAAGGGCCATCCTTCTGGGTCGGGGCTGAAGGGCTGGGCTCAGAGCACATTTTCTCTTGGGGACTCTCCTCCACCCTGAAGGAGAGTCTACCCTTTATCTGGGGTAGAGGGTCCCTTGGGACAGCTAGTGGAGCAGAGAGGATGTTCAGAGGAAGGGCTGGAGGCTGCCAGCTACTCTCCGTTCTTGGAGTCAGACAGCTCTCGGGATCCTGAGAATGGCTCCTGTCCCCAGGGCTTTTGTATGGGAAGTGACAAAGGGACTGAAGTGGGAGGCCATGGCTCTAGGCTCTATCCAGCTGACTCTGTCCCAGAAGACCCTTGTTCTAGGAGTCCTAAGACAGCATGGCTTTGGAGCAGAGGGAGTCGGAAGGGCCCAATCTATGATGCATGGACACCAAGGCAGGGCTGTGTCCTCATGTCCTCTCTCTGTGTCCTCTCCCTGCTGTCTTTCTGCCGGAATGCATGAGTGAGTGTGAATGTGAGTGCGTGAGTGCGACTAGTTAGGGTTACTGGCTGTGGCTGTGGACTTCTTCTCAGAACCCAATAGCCATGCATGTTTGAGGAGCCACAGAGTAACCAGCTAGAAACATTCCGCTCATGTCCCGAATATCAGCGGAGCACCTGCAAGGTGCCAGGCACGGTGCTGGCCAGGGAGGCAGCTGTCACACATGTACGTGCAGACAAATATGAAATGACAGTAGTTCCAAAGGCGCTGAAGTAGACGTACAGAGATCTGGGCTTCACGTAGGGCGAGGGGTCAGGAAGGCCCTGAGGGGCGGACATCCTGGAGCATCATAGAGATGGAGTGGAGGCCGGCGTGGGAAGTGGGGAACCTGGGAGAGGGTGCTGGGGAAGCCAGCAGGACCTTCGGAGTTTTGCAGGGAGGCGGGCAGGGCTAGGAGCTTGGACTTTCTCCTAGCTACAGGGTGAGCAGGTGAAGAGTTTCAGCAGGGAAAAAGGTGTGGTCAGGTTTGTGACGTGCGGCTCGCTCTGGTTGGCAGCCTCATAGAGAAGACTGGCTGTGCCGGATCTAGGAACGAGGAAAGTGTAGCCCAGAGCTCCAGGGGAAGGGGAAGACGGAAGCAGAAACCAGCTTCTGCACTCTAATGTCACAGAGAATCTTGCGAACACCACCTGCTGGGGAAATCAGGGAGGCTTCCTGGAGGAGGTGGCATGGGAGCTGGGCTTGAGGGACGGCCAGCATGGTAGAGGCCAGCATTCCAGGCTGAGAGAATCGCTTGGGCAAAGACTCAGCAGTGAGGGTGCTCAGGTTCAGTTTGATGAGCCAGAGGATGAGGAGCGGTCACAAGGTCACAAGGCAGGCCCCTTGGTGGCTGAGCCAGCACTGGGATCCCCAGCTGAGATCTGGCACCAAGAACTGGCATCTAGGAAGTCTTCGAGGCCCCCAAATCAGTGGACTCCTGCGAACCCACCGTCAGAGCGTAGATACTTCCTCAACTGCAGTGCGGCTGGGAGGCGGGGAAGAGGAAGTGAGAACCACTGGCTATATCCAGAGAGCCTGAGGAGGGGCCTCTTCTAGAGTTGATCTCGAGAAACAGGGGTGGGGCCTCCCCAACAGAGGCTCCTGGGACCGCAGCTGAGACACCACGCAGCTGGAGGGAAGTGAGAAGAGAACTCAGCCCGGGCCTGGCTGGGTGAGACTCTCCATCACCCACTCCCCTGGACCACTGACGGCCATGGCTGTGGCCCAGCAGCTGCGGGCTGAGAGGTGAGTGCAGGGGTGCTGCCCTCCCTGGGCCTCCTCACTGTTCCCAACAGGTGTTGGGGGACGAAACCCAGCCCTCCCGACCCTCCTGCAGCTCCATGTCCGTGTCAAAAGTTGAGAGGCTGGAGTTGAGTCAGAGCCCGAATACTCGGAAATGCAGACTCTCAGAACTGTTTTAAGGAAACCGAGTTTTGGTTCACCTCCCTCAGGCGCAGATGAAGACACAAGGCTCAGAGAGGGGGAGTGACTTTCTCAGGGTCACACAGGAGTGGGTGGAAGAGTCTAGACAGGAACTCAGGTGAGCCGAGTTCCAGGCTGGGCTCACTGCTCCACATCATGGTCAGAAATGGCTTTTCCTCTTCTGTTCAAACAGAATCACGGAATCTGGCTTGTTCTTCTTTATCAAGGGCTTGGCTCAAATGTCACCTCCTCTGAGAAGTCTTCCCTGACTGCCCCTTCATGGCGGTCTGATCCCTTGCTCTGTTTCTTTTTTCTGCATAGTCCTTATATTACTGGCATAATATTCTAGACTCATTTATTTGTTTTCTTTATCACTGGCTTCCCCATTGAAAGCAAGTTTGATGAGGGTACAGTATTTGTCTCTTTTGACCGTGCTATATCCCTAGGATGAAGAACAATGCTGGTACAGACTAAGTCCTCAGTAAATGCTGCTGAATGAATGAGTGAGGATCTTGGAGCTGGAAAATGTCCTTAGAGTTTTCTAGTCCGATCTTGTCATTATACAGATGCGAAAACCGAGGCCCGCGGAGGATAGAATGAATGCCTCCTTGGGGCACAGGGAGTGAGTGGCAGGGCTGGGGCTTGGAGCACAGCCTCGCCAAGACTCAGCCTCATGTCTAGCAGCATCTTCCGAATGTTTCCTCAGTAGCTAGGCCTGTGCTCCTGAGCTGTGGGATACCTGAGGACACAGGGCTTGGCTCCTGCCTTCCGGAATTGGAACAGCAGGTGACATCAGAAACAGAGTGTACTAACCGTGGTGGGGAGGTGACTTGGAGAGTCGAGGGAGATGTATCAGGGTGGTTTGGGCCGAAGTGGGCAGCAAAGGGCCTGTGGTGGGACTGGGCTAGAAATGGAACGTGGGGTGGGATTTTCAAAGTTGGAATGGCAAAAGGAAGGCTGGTTGGCATATGTGAGTGTGCGTGCATGTGTGCATGCGTGCATGCGTGTGTGGATGGATGGGCCACAGAAGCCAGTGCTTACAGGGCAGATCGAGGACGGCTTTGGTGAGCCACAGAGGGTGGTGCTGGAGGTCAGGGCGAAGTCCCACCAGATTCTAGCCCCTCTTCCCTACAGGTCCTCACTGGAAACTGGTTCTGACATGCGAACTTAAACTTTCAGGAAGCAGCTGCTTTCGGAGGCTTGTGACACTTCCTATTTCTTGCAGGGTATGTGGATCAGAGAGATGACACTAAGAGCTGGCCGGCTGGACTCTGTGCTCCCTCCCTTCCACCCCCTGTCCCTTTCAGCCACCCTTGCCCCTCAGAGGAGGATGGCCGCCTCCTCCAGCCCTTCGTGGGGCCGCAGAGCCAGGTCCTGGGGTCACTGGCTTCCTTGCACCTTGTCGGCCTTATTTGAAAGTGTGCCCTAGGCGTGTTCTGCTTGAGACCAAAGCAGAGGATCCAATGGGAGGGCGGGACAGTCCCCACAGCAGGACTTTCTAAGCCCTGAGCTGTCTAAAGATGGAAAGGACTGTGCAAGGGTAGTGAGTTTCGTTCCAATGAACATGTTTTGAGCACCTACTATGTGCAGGAGCTACAAAACCTGAACTAGCTGCCATTTCAGCCTCTCCCAGGTAGTTCCCAAGTGGACTTTTCATGAACAACATGAGTGTGTATGAACCCTGAGCATCATGGCCCAAGAAAGCCTTGAGTTGACTTAAGCTCTGAGGGGTCCTGACTGAGGTCTTTAGGGGAGCAGCTATTTTAAGGGGACATCCATTTGGGGTTGCTGCACCCCAGTCCCAGTGCAGGGCTTCCTAGATTGACTACACCAGCGGCCAGATCATTCCCACTCTGCCCACCACAGGACTTGCTAAAATAGACTCGGAGAGTGGCCCTTGTTGAGCACCTACTGTGTGCCAGGTGCTGTTCTGAGAGCTTGGGCTACAGAGCGGGTAGGGGCCTTGCTCTCGTGGGAGTTCTCGGGCGGTGCTTGTTACAGTGGGACCTCTGCAGCCTCCCGGATGTACATACTTCTATGGTCCCCGTTTTCCAGAGGGAGAGAGGAGGCAGAGCACAGAGAGGACTCTTCCCAAGGACCTCGCTGGTATTGGCAGAGCGGGATTCGGCTCTCCATCTTCCTCCTGCGGCCTCCCAGCGTAACCCCGCCTTGCCACCACCGCCCCAGAGCAGGCACAGGGCCCTTCGTCTCACTGGCTTCGTCTGGCATCACTTTCTTCCTGTACTCAGATGCCCCCACCCCCACCCTGCAGTTCCTTGAACTCGCCCCTTCTTGCATGGGGGCCTTTTGCACTCACTGTTTCCCTTGCCTGTCGTTGCTCCTCTTTGCTCCTCCTGCTGACCTGGTGCCGCTGCTTCTGGGAAGCCCTCCCTGACCACCCTCAGTCTGGGAGAGCCTGGCCATCATACATGCACAACACCTCTGCGTTTCTCTCTGATGGACATAACCCCTATCTTAGAAGCGTCTGCCTGCCAAGCTCTCTCGCCCGCTGCATACTGATTCTCTGAGGGCCTGTAATACGTCCAGGCTCCTGCTGCATCTGTGACCATTGAAATGATGTAGTTATTTGTTTCATGACCAACTTCTCCACTCAGTCATGAGACCCAGGCAGGCAGAGGCCATGCCCTAATGCGCTCGGAACAGTATCTGAGCTACTGAAGGCGCTAACAAGAGTTTGCTGTTATTATTACTTCGTGCTTCAAACTGGGGGAAACTCAGCCTTTCGACTTACTTGGAGAAGTTTGTTAACCTCTCTGTGCCTCGGTTTCCTTGTCTGTAACAAGGTGACACTGTTTTAGAGGAGCGCCTGGTGCACAGCGCACACTCAGACAATCGCTGTAGTCATTGTCACCCGACCCGCCCAATGCCTGGTGCGTACCGAGCCATTTCTACACCGCTGGTTCCTTCCTGCCCCGCGCCCATCGTACTGCAGATGAAATAAATACCTATGACATGCCTCAGGGGAGAAAGTGGAGGAGGAAACATGTCCCAAGGGTGTCACCATAAGGCCTTGTGTGGAAAGTGAGTGGGGAGGTTGCCAGTGGCCACCGAGTTGCTCTGGGAGTGATGGGGATTTCCTCTGCCCGCCCACTGCCACCCTGAGTCACATCCCGATGACAGCCTCCTTGTGTCCCAAGGTGGCCTGAGATCCCAAGAAGCTCAGGTCCTCTGGGGACCAGCAGGGGGTGGGGCTCGGTATACAGACTTTGAAACAGATTTCTCCTGAGGTCCTGGCCAGCTCTGAGGCCTCGGATGTGGCACCCCGCCCCCCACCTCCTACCCCGTTTCCCAATTACTGCGACGGTCGAGTTATGTTTGCTTCTTGTTTCCTCGTTTGTCTGCGGTGGCTGAACTTGAAGACCTCTTCCGTGTCCTTGGCTGTCTGTCCTCTCTTCCTCCACTCATCCCTTTTAGTCCTCTCTCTCTGCTCACTGCTCTTCTCTGGGGGTCTTGACCACAAGTCACAGGCGGATAGTTCATACCTCTCCCGCTGCAGCCGAGATGCCCACGTCTCTCCCCTTAGCTCCAAAGCCACACATCGGCTCTTCTTGGACCTCGACCTGGGTGTCCAGGAGGCTTCTAAAATTAGTATGCCCAACAATGAGTCCATCAACCCTGCTCCCTCCCACCTGTCCTGGTCAGAGTATGGGTGACATGTGGGTGTCACTCTTCACACTGCCCTTTCAGCTCCACATCAAACAGTCCCCGAATCCTACTGGTCATAACTCAGGAATGACTAGCAAATTGGTCGTGTGTCCAAGACTGCAGGGGACAGAGGACCTGATAGCAGTTTAAACAAGCAGGGGTTTATTTTTTCACATAAGAAGTCCAGAGGTTCACAGCTGGTTCTGCAGCTTAGCAACTTCAGGACCAGCAACTTCAATTCCAGAGATTCCTGTGGTCTTCCTCACGTGTTTGCCTCATGGATGCAATGTGGCTGCCGCAGGTCCAGATGTCACACCTGCTTTCAAGACAGGCAGAAGAGGGAAGGGGAGGAGACCATGCCGGCCTTGTCCATCCCTCTGGATCACAAAAACAAACACTCAAAAGACCCTTGTAGTAGATTCCCACTTTGGTCTAATTGGTCAGAACTTGTTACCTGGCTGCTCCTGGCTGCAAGGGAGGATGAAAGACAAGAACAGGGTCTTTATGTTAAGCTCAGCCCAATTGTGATCTGTCACCTTGGAGCTAGGCACATTGCCACCCCAAACAAAACTAGAGCCTGTTTAGCAGAAAGGAACAGGGGATACAACACATGAAACAGAGGTGCCCGTCAGAGGTGATATCCCGTGTCTGCCCTTCACTGCTGTCCCCACTGCTGGGCTCAGGCCCACATCACCTCTCAGGCGAAGCACCTCAAAGCCTCCCGGGAAGGCGCTTTGCCCCTTCAAGTCTCCGCCCTCCTATCGCTCTCTGCACAGCTGCCTGAGCTGGCCTGCGACAGCCGGGATCACCCTGTGGTTTCATTCCCTTCCGAAGCCTCGCGTGGCTTCCTATTGCCTGCAGAACTTTCTTAGCTCAGCACTAGTGACTCCTTAGCCTGGCTTCATCTTCCCATTCGATCTCTGCTCACACCAGACCCCAGCCACACGAGACCTGGCCCACTCCATGGGCCTCAGAACCTCCGCCTATGCTGTTCCCTCTGCCTGGAAGGCCCTCCCCTACCGTGTCCTACCTGGTGGATTCCAGCTCCTTCTAGACTTGGCTCAAACGTCGCCTTCTCTGTGAGGATTTCCCCAACCCAGGCATAATTAGCCATTCTCCATGTGGGGCGTGCATTGACTCTGTTTACCCTGGGGACCCGGGGCCGAGAGCAGGGCCCGATGCAGGGGAGGAGCTTGATGCACTGGCCCTGGGTGGACAGAGCAGTCGCAAAGCCATTCGCTAGATTACAACGCGGCTGCTGCTATGTGGTCCTTCCTCCCAGTGCCTTCTCTCTGGAGCCCGGCCCGGGGACGAGGAGCGCGACAGGCGCCTGGGCTCACTTTGCCCGCTGCCTCAGGCCCCGTGGGCCCGCTGAACACAGGCGATGACCGGGGCTTCTTCTCCTCCCGCCCCCCTCAGCGACTTTGAACAGCTTCCCGACGACGTTGCCATCTCAGCCAACATCGCCGACATCGAGGAAAAGCGGGGCTTCACCAGCCACTTTGTAAGAGACGTCCTTGAACCTTCTCCCTCTGACAACTCCGCTGACCTGACCTCTGAACCTTTACCCTCCGACCTCTGAACCTTCAACTCTCTCATCTCTTAACTTCTATCCCGGTAGGGCCATTTCGACAGCGGATATTTGGCAGTGAATATCGTGAGGCATTTTTTATTATTGCAGCTCGGGGTGGGGATGCTACTGACATCTAGTGAGTGGGGTCTGGGGGTGCTGCCCAACACCCCACGGTGCACAGGACAGCCCTACTGCAAAGAATTGTCTGGCCCCAAATGTCACACCGAGGCTGAGAAACCTTGGGACCTCTGCCCCTGGCCTCCAAGGCCCGACCCCCGACCTCTGTCCTCCCCAGGTTTTTGTCATTGAGGTGAAGACGAAAGGAGGATCCAAGTACCTCATCTACCGCCGCTACCGCCAGTTCTACGCCTTGCAGAGCAAGCTGGAGGAGCGGTACGGGCCCGAGAGCAAGACCAGCCCCTTCACCTGCAAACTGCCCGTCCTCCCAGGTAGGCTGCTGGTCCCCCGCCGGGACAGAGCTGCATCCTCGGCTCTGCTTCCAGCTGTGCTGACACCGTCCATTATTCTGCTCGTTGGGTCCATGGCCCCCTACTGGCAGTCACGGGCTGCTTCCTCTAGCTCTCCTGCCTCCTAGCCCTTGACCTCCTATGCTCTGAAGACCTTTATGGCTTCAGCCATCCACCAGAGACCAAGGTCACGGTTTAGGGCACATGGACACCGGCCTCTCGCCCTTGAGTCAGGCATTCTGTGTCTCCCCAGATAAACGCACAGACTCATCTTCCAGCCCTCCCTCCAGCCCTTCCATGAGAACTGCTCTCTACCACTGCGGTCCCCGGCTTCTTCTGGTCTCCATGGCCCCCCTTCTTCTCTGCCCCATTGAGACGCAGCCAGCACATCT